GGGTTCGGATCCCATATAGGGATGGCCGGTTCGCTCACTGGCTGAGCGTGGTGCTGACAACACCAAGTCAAGGGTTAAGATCCCCTTACCGGTCATCTTTTAAAAAAAAAAAAAAAAGAAAAGAAAAGGGTGCTAAGGAATACAGAAAAAGCAAATGTAGGAATCAGCCACTAGCTTGAGAGCTGAGGGAGAGTACATAAGGAAGGAGCTAAGAACTTGAAAGAGTAACCCCTCCCTAAGGCTGACATGGTGACCTCATCAGAGAATATGTGGCTCCCAGGAGAATAACAGTCTGCCAGTGTTGAAGAAACTTGCTGGAGGGTTGGGCTGCAGTTGGTTTGCAGGAACAAACAGCCGAGTGGCTAAGAAACTCACTAGAGAGTACAGGTGAGCCAGAGGTGGTCCACAGAAATCACCTGCCAGGTAGCCAAGAAGTTCTCTGGGCAGTGCTAGTAAGCCATAAAAGCAACGTTAGTAAATAGCCTGCTGGGTGGTAGAAAAGTTCTCTTGGTACTGGTGGGCCAGAACTGGATTGGAGGAAGGCCGGCCTGTGGCTCACTCGGGTCATCTCTGTATCTCAGCACCTAGCATGGTACCCACCTAGAGTTGTTCAACAGGGCTGGTCAGTTAGCTCAGTTAGTTAGAGCACAGGCTTGTAAACACCAAGGTCAAGGGTTCCAATCCCATACCAGCCAGCTGCAAGAACAAAAAAACAAAAAAAAAAGTTGTTCAACAAATGTTGAATGAATGAATGAACAGGCAGTTCCTGTGTGCCTGGTACCCTGGAGGAATGCTTGGCATACAAGAAACAGCTGGTTCATATTTCAGTCACTTCCACCTTGGACTAACTTTCTCTGCCCAAACACCTCCCTGTACGTCAATGACACAGCTGGAAAAACAAATCCTGAATTATATCCCACCTTGTTTTCTATCTGCTCTGTGACCTTGGGAAAGTCATTTATTGCCTCTAAGCCCCTAGTCTTCATCTGCAATAAGGGTTAATAAAAAGGAGAGGGTAAGATAAATTATTTAAATTAGTATTTATTGAACCAGTTACTGTGCTAGGCACTCTTAAATAAATTAGCTTGAGTGATAGTCACAATATCTCAGTGAGACAGATTTTATACCTTTCCTACAGAAGAGGAAACTGCAGCTCAGAGAAGTTAGGTAACTTAGTCAAGGTCACAAAGCTGGAAGAAGATTTGGAGTAAGTAGTTGTACCATAGGCTACATTAGAAAAAAAATGGAGTATCCAGGGCCGGCCCGTGACTCACTCGATAGAGTGCGGTGCTGATAACACCAAGGCCACGGGTTCGGATCCCATATAGGGATGGCTGGTTCGCTAACTGGCTGAGCGTGGTGCTGACAACACCAAGCCAAGGGTTGAGATCCCCTTACCGGTCATCTTTAAAAAAAGAAAAAAATGGAGCATCCAGATCTCTTTCTCTCTCTCTCTTTTTTTTTTTTTTTTTTGGTCTTGGTGTTACAACACCATGCTTTAACCAACTGAGCTAACCGGCCAGCCGCCAGGTCTCCTCCAACAAGGAATGACTGGAATTTTCTTATTCTCACAGCCTTTTCAAGCTTTGGATCTTAAGGATAGAGGCTCCACCATTTGGTGAGCACTGCATCTTACCTTCAGATCCAAGCCCCCAGGTTTCCCCCGTCTGCTCCTACAGATTAAGACAACGATCTCCAGCCTCTTTTCTGTTCCTCTACTTTAAAGCATTCTTATACCTGTCATATCTTGCTAGATCTTCTAAGGAAGGAATGAGTCTTCCCATTTTTAAGGTGAAAAAATTGAGGTTCAAAGTGACGTGCCTAAAGTCATATGACAACAATCATCAATAGGAGGACAATAGTTGTTACCAGAGGTTGACATGCCCGTGGAGCCAAGTGGACCTGTTTTTCTAATTGACTGGGAGGCAGAAGAGTGGCATTGTGGGAAGAGAACCATAGGCATGTCAGACAGACCTGGGTTCTGATCCCAGCTCTTCCAGTTGCAGAACTGCCATAGTTCGAGAAAGAAAAAAAAAGTACCATAGTCCAGAAAGAGGAGATCTGTTTTAGGAGCTAATCTTCTAGGCTGGGCAGAATAGAGCTATTATGAACTCCTTGAGGGCAGAAACTTATCTAATCTTTATATCCCCGATGCCTAGTACAGTTCCAAGAACATACCTGCTACTCAATAAATGTCTGTTGACTTGTGTAGGAGATTTGGAAGGAAGGAGGCAAGGGAGGAAACTTGAGTTTAGAATCCAAGGGGAAGAGAGCATACAAAGAGTGAACCCAGGAGAAAGACTCCAGGCCCTGGTTCCCTTACTCCAAGCCATTGGGATATCCTCCAGAGGAACAGGGTGCTGTGGCTTTAAATGACTTCAGCATTGTCAATGAATCTGCTCTGCTAAAAGAGTTATCCTCTTGCTCCTGTGCCTGGCCTCCCCCTCCTCTCAGCTCCCCAAACCCTTCTCAGCTGCTGTGATGGGATAATTAGATGCGAGAGCTCAGCACAGATGATGCTCCAGTTGCTTAGCAACTAATGGTTTCCATGGAGACCGCAAAGCACAGCCTCCAGAGCAGCCAGTGAGCAGCTCGGCAGGGCAGGGAGAAGATGCAACTCTCTGCTCCTCCAGAAACCTGGGGAGGGTTGGGATAGGGAAGGTGGAGGGGGGGAAGACTAGAGGGTGAAGGGAGGGCTTAAAGGCACAGGGCCCTTATATCCCTTTAAAATCTGGGCTGAGATCTGCCCTCCCCTACCCAACTCTGTCCCACTCATAATTTCAGATGGTGGCTTAAGAGTTGACCCAATGCAATCCACCCTGCAATAAACCCAATCACTTCTCCTTTCTGCTTCCTGGTTGTTACTGAAATAAGGAGAGCGACATCCCAAGCCTGACTGTAAACATCCTGCTGTGTGGGTGATGAGATTTGAGGAATACCAGGAAGATCCCCTCGCCCTGGCATTCCACCATTTAGTCTATTCCCTCTCTGCCAAGTTCTCCTTAATGTGCAAAAAATCCTCTTTCAGTTTGTAGAACAATGGTAGGATCTGATCTAAAAGGGAGCAAAAGTCAAGGTGCAGAGCCGGCCCGTGGCTCACTCAGGAGAGTGTGGAGCTGATAACACCAAGGCCACAGGTTCGGATCCCATATAGGGATGACCGATTTGCTCACTGGGTGAGCGTGGTGCTGACACCACCAAGTCAAGGGTTAAGATCCCCTTACCGGTCATCTTTTGGAAAAAAAAAAAAAAAGTCAAGGTGCAGGAAAAACAGAATTCACTTCTTTATCCAAAGCAGCCTGTTCTGGCAGACTGGGAAAAAACACCTGCCTGATCTCCATCAGAGAGGATCCAGTGTGTGGGGTGGGTGGTACCAATGCAGAGCATGTGGCAACTCCAAGTGTGGGCCTCTTGGACCAGCATCAGCAGCATTACCTGGAAGCTCAGCAGAAATGTGGAATTTCAGGCTTCACCTCAGACCTACTGAATCAGAAACTACAGCTTATCAAGCTCCCTGGTGATTTACATGCACACTAAATTTGGAGCAGCACAGGTCTAAGACCCTCCTACCCTCTGCTTGGGCCCATGAGTTCCAACCTCACTGTCATCTGCCACTCACTTCACAGGCTTTGAGCCTTCGGTGGGTAAGGATACAACCCCACCACCTCCTCACTTTCCTACCAGGACTCTGGACCTTCCCTGGGTCTGGGAAGATAGAATGGTTCATGGAGCAAAGAGACAGTCTCTGCAGAGCTCTCAGGCCTCTGTAGACTTCTACGACCACTCCCCACAAAGTATTCCACTTGGGCCGGCCCCGTGGCGCACTCGGGAGAGTACGGCGCTGGGAGCGCAGTGACGCTCCCGCCGCGGGTTCGGATCCTATATAGGAATGGCTGGGGCGCTCACTGGCTGGCTGAGCGCGGTGCGGACGACACCAAGCCAAGGGTTGCGATTCCCTTACCGGTCACGAAAAAGACAAAACAAACAAACAAACAAAAAAACAAAGTATTCCACTTTCCACAAGTGACTCTACCTGCTCCAGTCTCAGTTTCCACATCTACCAAAGGGAGCCAATAACACCTCCTGCCCAGGCTGGCTGTAGGGTTCAGTGCTAGGGCATGTGGAGCCCCTGCCCAGTGCCCAGCACAGTTGCTCACTCTCCTCTCCTCCTCCCACTGCTCAGAACTTCTCCTTCACTCCTCTAGCTGACCTTAGGGGTGGAGGACACAGTCAGAGACGTTGTGCCTCTTTTTCATGTTCTCTTACCAGGTCTCTTTCTCTTTGTTCTCAGTCAGTTCAACAAATGGTTGCTGCCCAAGACTGACAGTGCCCAGCTCCCCTACCCCTGCTGGAATGGGTCAGCATCTACCTGTCTACCTCTGTGGTCTCTCCCTCCCTGGGTTCCCTTGTCCCTGCTCTTCAGAGGAATCTGAAGCTCTGTGCACTGCCTGGCACCAACACCTGCTGCCTCTCCCAGAGCAGCAGTACCTGGGCCTCAGTCAACACCAGGAATGGGAACCATGGCTCTACTGCCCCCACCCCTACTAATGGTCTGTTTCTCTCCCACTCTTGCCCTTTCAGGAGCCCCTCGGGGTTACTCTCCCCTTCCTACATACCAGGGCAACTTCAGAACTGGCTGCCCTCCTGGGAAGACCCTGCCACCTGGGTGAGCAGTCCCCTATAGGCCAGGCTCCAGACACACATGCACACAGGAATACTGTGCCTTACATGTGGGATTCCCAGAAGAAGGGGTGGTTTCACCCCCCTTTCGTTACTCTGCCTCCCTGCAGCTGGCTAAGCCACCAGGATCCAGCCAGGGCATAAATATATATATATTCCCCCCCACCTTGGGCTGAAGACCAGCTCCCCATCCTGAAAAACCTGTCTGGGGGCCCCCACCAGAGGCTATAGGGCCCAAGGGGCAGGTTGGACTGGATTCCCTTCCAGTCCCTCCCACTCCCAAGACAAAATCAGCCACCCCAGGGCAGAGCCTCATTGCCTCAGAAAGCCACAGCCTGCCAGCACCAGTCCTGCTTTCAGCCCAGCATGACATCCCCTCTACCCATCCGGACCTGGCCCTTCATCCTGATTCTGCTGGCTGTCCTGGCCCCAGGGGCTGCAGGTCTCTTCCATCTCTTGTGGGGGTGGGGATGGGCTTGGGGGCCTGGACAGGGGGCACTGTGCCCTTCAGAGCCCTCAAGGAGGAACTGATCTGGCCAACTGGGGGTGGCGGCTGGTGATGGCAGTGGCCAGGCAGCAGACACTGGACCCATGTCACAGTCTTGGTCCTCTTCCAGACCCAGGAGGCAGAGAGGAATGGGAAAAGGTCCAAGGCTGTGGGTAGGGATGTGATTGGGCCCTGCCCAACTCCTGCAGAGCAGCTAGGTGGGCTCCAGCTTCAGCAGCCCAAGCCTGCCACCTGGTGGTCAGACCAGCACAGGCCGGGCTGTTCTGCTACCACTGCACAGTGGAACGGGAGATGGACTCCGTACGCTTAGAAATGGCCTGGGGGTAGGGGGTGGGGGAGACAGGGATGGACCTGACGGCCGGGAGGGGGTTGATCCCATCTGAGCTCCCTCCTGACCTCCCAGCAGACTTCAACATCTCAAGTGTCTCTGGTCTGCTGTCCCCAGCGCTAACAGAGAGCTTGCTAGTTGCCTTGCCCCCTTGTCACCTCACAGGAGGGAATGCCACACTGATGGTCCGGAGAGCCAATGACAGCAAAGGTCTGCTACCCTCTCCCAAGGCATCCCCCCTGTCCCCAGAGACCTCTTCCCAGAACCCCCCAGCATCCCTCCCCCTAATCATGCCTTCCTGTCAACCCCTCCCCTGGGCTATCCACACCCTAAAAGCTGCCCCTTCTGCTGTGGGCCTCCAGAAACCTGACCCTGGCTTCCACTCCCAATTTTCTACCCAGTGGTAAAGTCCAGCTTTGTGGTGCCTCCATGCCGTGGGCGCAGGGAGCTGGTGAGTGTGGTGGACAGTGGGGCTGGCTTCACAGTCACTCGGCTCAGTGCATACCACGTGACAAACCTTGTGCCAGGAACCAAATACTAGTAGGTACCCAGTCCAGGCCTGGGACGCCTGCAGGGTGGGGGTGCAGGAAGAGAAGCTGGCCATCGTGGGGGAGAGAGCAAGGGCACGGCTAACAGATGTAAAAACCAGGCCTCTCTGGGAGGAGTGCACATGTGGGAGGCACGGCTGTGAAGGTGGGGAGGTGCCCCTCTTCCCCCAAGCCCCAGATACTCATGGAGGGTTCTCTTCTCTCTCTCCCCTAACTCCCCCCACAAAAGCATTTCCTACCTAGTGACGAAGGGGTCAACCACTGAGTCCAGTAGAGAGATGGCCATGTCCACGCTTCCTCGTAAGTAACGCTCCCACCTCCCTTTCACATCTCAGATCAGAGTCGGCAAAAGCTTCCCTGATCCCTCTCACGTCATCCCCCAGTCTGGGTTAGCTGCGCCTCCCTTCATCCCCTCAGCCCTGTGCGGATGAGCCCTGTTGACTCATCTGCCACAGGACTAATCTAAAAGTTCCTCATGGGTAAGGACTGTGTCCTTTAACTTCCATATCTTCGGTGGCTGACATGGGAGATGCTTCGTAAACATTTATTTGACAGATGTTTGGATCCATCGGTTGGTTGGTTGGATGAATAAATGGATGAACGGATGGCTGGTTGGATGTCTGGATGAGGGGCTAGGCGGTGGGCCCAGGCAGGCTTGGGGCCCCTCCTGCCCACAAAGGCCTCTCCTCTGGCTCTTCTCACAGGAAGGAATGTGGAGTCCATTGGGCTGGGAATGGCCCGGACAGGGGGCATGGTAGTCATCACAGTGCTGCTCTCCGTCGCCATGTTCCTGCTGATTCTGGGCTTCATCATCACCCTGGCACTGGGCACCCGCAAGTGAGGAGGCTGCTCTGAGCAGCGGGCTCCTCCGGGGACTCCAGGGCACTCTCTGTTCCCCCTTCCTGCCTCCTCCCTGGTCTGTCACCAGCCTTTGGCTCTCCCAGTGCCTTCACTTGCCTCTCCCTGCCCCCCTCCCGTTCCTCCCCCTGTTCATCTCCTTGCTCCCCAATGCCTCCCCTTCCAGCACTCCCTGTCATTCCCCTCACCCCTCTCCTGTCAGAGCTGACTTTCCTCCCATTTCACCACTTTGACCTCCCCCCACAAAACAATTCCCCTCCCTCCATAAGTCCCCACAATAAAGGTTGACACTGTGAGTGCCATATGTGTTTTCCTTTAGTGGGCTTCACTGTGGTACAAACCTAAAGAATCAATGTCCAGGCTGCAGGTGCTTCTGGTCCCCTCCCTGCCCCATGGCCCCACAGTTGCTTTTCCCATGAGTCAGGCAGGCGGGGGCCAGATGAGATAGAGCCCAGGAGTCAGAGTTCTCAGACCCACACCTGGAATGTGGGTTTTGCACCCTCCACAGCATGCAGCATGACACCCAGCCAGGGGCCTGGGGGTGGGGGCAGAATCCGGGGCTGGTACACCATGTGGGGCCAGGACGCCTGAGGGCCTGGGGGCAGGGGCTGGTAGAGCAAGGGAAAGTGCTGGGGAAAGAATAGAGGCTCCTTTGGGGAGAAGACAAAGACAGGGCCACCAGGGTGAGACACGACAGGGCAGTGGAGGGGGAGGAGTGGAAAACAGGAGGTGGGAGCAGAAATGGAAGAACCCTGGCTGGAGGGGACAAGAGAGGTACAGTGTGGTAACTGAGGGAAGAGGGCAGGAGTGGTCCTCCTCATCACTGTTGTCCTCTCCAATATACATTCCTTGTAGGGACCAGTGATCTTAACATTACTCCTAGGGTAAAGGCCAAAATCTTTAAGGTGACCTTCAGGGCCAGGCCTTATCTGTCTCCAAACTGTCCCTCAGCTCTTACCATGTTCCCTCCAATGTCCCATGTTCTTTCTTGCCTCAGGGTCTTTGCACAGACTATTCTCCCTCTCCACACCAATTCCCGTAGGTAGCTCACTGTCCTTCTCCAGCGAAGCCTCCTCTGACCTCCATTCCCCCCTTTCCTGTCTTTCAGAGCATTACCATGCCTCATAATTACGTGTCCATGTGCTTATTCCATTGTCTCCTCTACCAAACTTAAGTTCCCTGAGAGCAGCTGCTTTAATCCACAGTGCCTGGGACACAGTCAGTACTCGATAAATACCTGTTGAATAAGTGAACGAACAAATGCTTGAATGAATGATGAAGCCCTTGAAGAGGAATACCAATGAGGGAAAGTGCCAAAACTTCTGTGAAAATAATCAGAAGTGAGTCACAGAGTGAGGAGTTAGAAGATGCTGGAACAATGACCATGATGACTCCTTTCTAGAGTAATCCAAGAGCCAGGGAAAGGGAGACAATGGAAGGGGAGGACGACAATCTTTTTCATTCCACAAACACTGACCAAACATTTATTATATGCCAGGCGCTCCTGAAGGAGGTCGGAGTCAGCTGCGAAAAGACATTGTTCCTCCCTCGTGGAATTAACATGGAACTTAGTGGAAGAGACAGAGCCCCACCTCAAATGTGAACAATTAAATACAAAATGTGATAAGTGCCGTGTGATGGGAGAGGAGTGGACACGTCAGGTTGGGTGGGCCGAACCAAACTGAGGCCGGAAGTTAGGAGAGAGGGTCAGGGAGGACATGCCCTGCAGAGAGAAGGGTTTCGCTATGCTTCCCCCAATAACTGCACCAGCCCAGGGAGGTTTGGGCACCCAGCTTTGTGATGCTGTAGGGGGAGCATTGGATTGGGAGCCAAACTGTGCTGCCCATTAGAATTAAAAAAATCCTTATGACCACCAGGTCACACCTCGTACCAGAATCAGAATGATAAGATCTGAGAGCCACAGTAAAGAAAAAAAGAAAAAAGAAAGGAAAGAATAGTGGGAGCGAGGCGTTAGTATTTTTTTTTGGCACCTGGCCGGTATGCTGATCCGAACCCTTGACCTTGGTGTTATAATACTGAGCTCTAATCAACTGAGCTAACCAGCCAACCAACCAGCTATTTTTTAAAGGCCCCCAGGAGATTCTGTGCAAAGCAATTTTAGGAATTACTAATGCTAACTTTTTTTTTTTTGGCAGCTGGCCAGTACAGAGATCCAAACCCTTGACCTTGGTGTTACAAGGCTGTGCTCTAACTGACTGAGCTAACCTGCCAGCCCCCATACACATTATTTTTATTGTGGTAAAATATACATAACATAAAACATACCATTTTAGGGCCGGCTCCTGGTTCACTTGGGAGGGTGTGGTGTTGATAATTCCAAGTCATCTTTTAAAAAATAAATAAATAAATACCATTTTTACCATTTTTAAGTGTACATTTCAGTGGATTAAGTACATTCACACTGTTATGCAATCATCACCACAATCCACTCCCAGAATTTTTTTTTTTTTTTTTTTTTTTAATGGTAAGGGGATCGCAACCCTCAGGACGGTGTGTTCTGCACCACACTCAGCCAGTGAGCACACCGGCCATCCCTATATAGGATCTGAACCGGCAGCCTGGGCATTCCCAGCGCCACACTCTCCCGAGTGAGCCTCAGGGCCGGGTCCACTCAGAATTTTTCATCATCCCAAACAGAAACTCTGTACCCATTAAATAAGAAATCTCTATTCCCTCCTCCCCAAGCCACTGGCAACCATTCTACTTTCTGTCTCTATGAATTTGGCTATTCTAGGTACTTTATATAAGTGGAATCACACATTTGTCCTTTTGTGTCTGGCTTACTTCACTTAGCATAATGTCTTCAAGGTTCCGCCACGTTGTAGCATGTATCATAATTTCATTCCTTTTTAAGGCTGTATGTATTTGCCACATTTTGTTTATCTATTCACCCATTAATGAACTCTTGGGTTGGGCCGGCCCCGTGGCGCACTCGGGAGAGTAAGGCGCTGGGAGCGCAGCGACACTCCCGCCACGGGTTCGGATCCTATATAGGAATGGCCGGTGCGCTCACTGGCTGAGCGCAGTGCAAGTGACACCAAGCCAAGGGTTGCGATCCCCTTACGTGGCAGCTCTGCTTTTAGTGGTCTGTTGGCTATTATGAGTAATGTTGCTATGAACATGGGATACGAATATCTGTTGAAGTCTCTGCTTTCAGTTGTTTTGAATGTATACCCAGAAGTGGAATTGCTGGATCATATGGTAATTCTACAGGTTTTTTTGTGTTTTTTGGTTTTTTTTGTTTGTTTGTTTGTTTTTTGGAAGTGGCTGGTATGGGGATCCAAACCCATTATCTTCGAGTTATGAGGCTGTGCTCTAACCAACTGAGCTAACTGGCCAACCTTTGTTTAGTTTTTTTAGGAACCACCATACTGTTTTCCACAGTAATTGCATCATTTTACATTCCCAGCGGTAATGTACAAGGGTCCCAATTTCTCCACATCCTACCAACATTTTGTATGTTTGTATAATAGCTGTCTCAGTGAGTATGGCACGGTATCTCACTGTGGTTTTTGATATGCATTTCTCTAATGATTAGAGATGTTGAGCATCTTTTCATGTTCTTATAGGCCATTTATATATCTTCTTTGGAAAAATGTCTATACAAGTCTTTTGCCAAATTTTGTTTTGTTTTTTGGCAGCTGGGCGGTATGGGGATCCAAACCCTGGACCCTGATGTTATAAGCTAATTTTTTTTTTTTTTTTTTTTAAGATGAGACCGGCACTCAGACAGTGAGCGCTGTGAGTGCACCGGTCATCCCTATATAGGATCCGAACCTGCGGCGGGAGCGCTGCTGCACTCCCATCGCAGCACTCTCCCGAGTGCGCCGCAGGCTCGGCCCATAAGCTAAATTTTTTACTGAAATGTTTTGTTGGTAGTTTAAAAGTTGAAGAAATTCAGAAGTAAACATTTTGGACATTTAGCAGTTGAAACACCTGCTTTGACTGAAGTTTTTGCTCCCTCTTAATCACAGGAGAAAAAAATTTACTTTATCAGTTATGCAATTTGAAATTGAAATGAATCTGATTTTAAAGTTACTACTGGTAGGTTATATGCAACACTGCCACTCATGAGTGAGAATGTGTATTTGACTTTCCATTGATTTAGATAAAGTATATTTCAGTATTTCTAAATTTTCAGCCTTCATAATAATAGTATGTGGGTTTGAACCTTTGACCTTGGTATTATAACAAATCATTGAAATTATTATTGGTATTGGTATTAAAGGTAGATTCCTAGCAAACTTTATAAATGGAAGCTGTTGATTTCACTTTGGCTAAAACATCTTGGGTGCGTGTGTGTGGCTGGCCGGTATGGGGATCTGAACTTTGACCTTGATATTGTAACATCACACTCTGACCAACTGAGCTAACCGGCCAGCCCCCTAAAACAACATTTATTGAGGGTCTTCAATGTACCAGGTACTACACTCAAAGTTTCTGGTCTGGTAGACAAGCAATAGGCAACACAATACGAGGTAGGTGGGCTCTGAGAAGGGAACCCGAGATGCCACACAGAGGAACTAAAGGGGACTGCCTCACCCACGGCCCAAATCTGGAATAATTTGAGAATTAAAACAAACAATGATATAATGCCAATGTGAAGGGTTTGCGTCCCTGTATCGGCCAGCTGCCAAAAAATAAAATAAAAATAAAACAAACAGTGATAGTCATGAATTATAACCCACTCTATAAATAAGAATCCATTGAGTTTATACCGATAACAAACAAATATGGGAGAAGGAAAAGCTGTTCCTTACAATTTATTTAGAACACCAACTAAATAAATGAAGAAGGAATCAAAGATTTAGGAAAATCATTTTACAACCATCACAGTAATGACTAATTCAGGCAAGAATCATAAATTGATGCTAGTGGGTCCAACTTTGATGAGGAACAGGATTTAGATAATTTCAAACTACCCACAAATTGCTTACTAATTACAAAAGGAAAAAAAAAGTAACTTTACAGTGGAGAAGCCTGGTGGATACCACTAAACCAAGTGATTGACGTTAACATCACTAATAATGAGACAAACTGACATCACCTGCCTCTTGATGTAGTACAATAAGAAAGAAACATCACTTCTGTGGCATTCTTGCCAAAAATGCATACTCTTACTCTAATTATGAGGAGATACCAGCCATCCCCAAACTGAGGGCCATTCTACAAAATAAATGGCCTTTGCTCTTCAAAATTTCAATGTTATGAAAGATTAGGAAGGTGGAGAAACTGCTCCTGATTAAAGAAGACTAAAGAAATATGGATACTAAATGTGGTGCATGATCATGGAGGGGATCCTAGAAAAAAAAAATTATGTAAAGGACAATTGGTAAAACTTGAATGAGATCTGTATACTACATCTAGTACCAAAGCAATGTTAATTTTCTGATTTCAATAATTTTCTGATTTCTGATTTTTCTGGTTATGTAAGCCAAATGTCCTTGTTTTTATAAAATATTAAAGTACTTATGCATAAAGGGGCATGATATCTGCAAGTTACTCTCAAATACAGTAGTTCAGGAAAAAATGTAATATCCAGGGCTGGCCCGTGGCTCAGTGGGGAGAGCGTGGTGCTGATAACACCAAGGCCACAGGTTAAGATCCCCTTACCAGTCATCTTTAAAAAAAAAAAAAATGTAGGGCTGGCCCATGGCTCAGTCTGGAGAGCGTGGTGCTGATAACACCAAGGCCACAGGTTAAGATCCCCTTACCAGTCATCTTTAAAAAAAAAAAAAAAATGTAGGGCTGGCCCGTGGCTCAGTCGGGAGAATGCAGTGCTGATAACACCTAAGGTTATGGGTTCGGATCCCTATGTAGGGATGGCCGGTTGGCTCACTTCTGAGAACGTGGTGCTGACAACACCAAGTCAAGGGTTGAGATCCCCTTACCGGTCATCTCTAAAAAAAAAAAAAGTAATATTCACGGATAGAAAAATAAAAATGTGAGAAAATATTCATAATCGATCTTAATGAATCTAGGTGAAAGGATATACAGGAATTTTTTTATAGCATTCTTGGGATTTTTCTGTAAATTTGAAATTATTAAAAACAAAATTTTAAATTAAGTCACGATTCCATCTAATCCTATCTCCACCATCTACTACAGATGTGATCTTGGATAAGCCATAAAACCTATCTGAACTTCTAGAAAGTAGATGTTAATACGATCATGAGATCATTGTATCTTTTAAATAAAATAAGAGCTTTGTGCAAATGTAGACGGGAAGATCGTCAGGGATATCTCCCTTGCGGATCCCCAAGGTCCCCAGCCCCCAAAACGTAACAGTAGGGGGTTGAGGAAAGACTTGCCAGCAGGGTCTCGGCCTTCACTGGCGGAGTCCATTAGGGGCTGGGGGCGTCAAACGCAGACGCCGCACACCTGCGCTGCAGTCCACCTAATTCAATCACAGCGCAGGTATTTGAGGAAGTGCCTCGAGGCCTCACCCTAGTCTCTCCCGCCTCTCCTGCCCTGCGCTGCTCCATAGCTCCTCTCCCTAACGGTGGACCTCAAACTCCAAAATCCCAACTTCTGGGACAGCCTCCATGGCCAGGTCCCGGGCTTGCTGGACTGGGACATGGGGAACGAGTCCTTTCTGGCCTTCACCACAGCGCACCTGCCCTTAGCCGAGCAGAACCGTGAGTGCCCGGAATGGGCTGCGGTGGGGGATGGGCGGCTCGGCGGGGTCGCCAGGGCTGGGGGCTGGCGGGGCGCCCCCCGGACTGCTCCCCAGGCTTGGCCCTCCGTCCTCTCCCGGGAGGGTTTGGGCCTCGAACCCCCCGTTCTGAGTTCCCGGAGCCCCGTCCCCCACCGCCCGCTTGGCATTCTCCACTCGGGAGTGGGGCGTTAGCTCCAGCCTCGACTGGAAGCCCCCTGAGGGCAGCCCCGAGTCTAAAAACTGAGGCTTTCCACTCTGCCCCACCCGCCCTGCGCCCAGAACCTTCTAGGTCTCTTCTGGGCCTTTTCTCCATGGCGCTCATCGCCATTTGGCATACATATATTTTACTTATGCTTCTGTCTCTTGAATTTTTTTATCAGTTTTTTTGTTTCTAAAGATGACCGGTAAGGGGGTCTTAACCCTTGACCTGGTGTTGTCAGCACCACGCTCAGCCAGTGAGCTAACCGGCCATCCCTATACAGGGATCCGAACCCGTGGCCTTGGTGTTATCAGCACCGCACTCTCCCAAGTGAGCCACCAGCCGGCCCTTAATTATCGGTTTTGTTTGCGGTTTTATTCCCACCCCTTAGAACATTGCTTGACACCTAGATGTGCTGAATACTTGCTGAATGGATGGTTGACCATTGTGGTATTTTTAAAAACATTTCTCTTTGTACTTCAGGTGTAGAGACTTGAGATAGTCACCCTTCGTTCATAGTACCTTTTTGCAACCCCACAGGGCAAGGTCCTTGGATTAACCTTTGTGCATTTTCCCCCTTCATTTTCCACCTCCCTTCATTCTCCACCCCTCCTCTTCCTCCACTCCCATGTGCCAACCCTAAACCATTTAATGTCTCCCGGCCCCCCCCCCCCCCCCCCCCCCCGCCATTGTTTTTGAGACTTGTTTGTGTTGCTAAATCAGGTCTGGTTTATTATCTTTTTTTTTTTTTTTTTTTTCCCAAAGATGACTGGTAAGGGGATCTTAACCCTTGACTTGGTGTTGTCAGCACCACGCCCTCCCAAGTGAGCTAACCAGCCATACCCATATAGGGATCCAAACCTGTGGCCTTGGTGTTATCAACACCACACTCGCCCAAGTGAGCAACTGGTTGACCCTTATCTGTTACATTTTAATTCTCCTTACCCTTAAATTGCCTCTAACTCTGCCAGTGTAATTAATGCTAATGAACATTCCTGTAGGTTCATTTACTCAAGAAATATTTACTGAACACCTCCAATTGGCCAGGCAGTGTTCTAGACACTCATGATACACAGTGAACAGAACAGACGAGTCTTCACAGAGCTTACATTCTACTGGGGGCAGACAGATAATCCACATAATAAATATAATAAATGAATAGATTACACAATATACTATAGAGTGATAACCCATGATGGGGGAAAAAAGGAACAGGAGAAGAGGGCTCAGGAATGGGGGAAGGGGTGGTGGCAGCTACAGTTGTAAATGGATCGTCAAATTAGACTTCATTGGTACCAGAATATTTGAGCAGAGTCAAAGGAGGTGAGGGAGTAAGCCAAGAGGGGGTTTTTTTGTTGTTTTGTTTTGTTTTTTAAAAGATGACCACTAGGGGTGCTTAACCCTTGAGTTGGTGTTATCAGCACCACACTCTCCCAGTGAGCCACTGGCCGGCCCTAGCCAAGAGGTTATTTAGAGGTGAGGTTTTCCAGGCAGAAGCAACAGCCAATGCCCAAACCGTAAGGAAGGAATATGCCTGGAGTGTTTGAGGAATAGTAAAGAGGCCAGGCTGGATCCAAGTTAATAAGAGGAGAGCTCAGAAGGGTGTGGACAACAGCAGGAATTCCTCCTCTTTTAGTTTTAGTACTTTGCAGTTGACTTTTTTTTTTAATGGAAGATGACCGGTAAGGGGATCTTAACCCTTGACTTGGTGTTGTCAGCACCACGCTCTCCCAAGTGAGCGAACCAGCCATCCCTTGCAGTTGACTTCGAGTAAGATGAGGCATGGTTGCAAGGTTTTGAGCAGAGGAGTGGCATGATCTCAGGGCCAGCTTCATGAACATGACCTGTGCATTTGCATAGGTACCTGTGTTTGCTTTAGTGTTCTGCTATCACTGTATTGAAATTTCCAATAGTTTAACAAGAAGCTCCACATTTTCATTTCATACTGGGCCCTACACATTATGTAGCTGGTCTTAGGAGGCTATAGTAGTGATCCAGATAAGACACCATGGTAGACTGGACCAAGGTGGTAGCAGAGGAGGTGGTGAGAAAGTAGAACCAGCTGGATTTGCTGATGGATTGGATGTGTGGTATAGAAAAATATTTGAGGATGACTCTTCCAAAGTTTTTGGCTGGTCAAGTACAAGGATGCAGTTGCCTTCTATTGAAATGGGGGAGGCTTCTGGTAGGACAGGTTTAGAGAGGGAAGATCAGGAATTCTGTTCTGAACATGCTGACTTGAGATACTTACTAGATATCCAAGTAGACATGCTGAGTAGGCAGTTGAATATATGAGCCTGGTGTTCTGGAGAGAGGTGTGGACTGCATATGTAAATTGAGTCTTTGGTTTATGGGTGGAATTTAGGGAGTAAGAATAGAGAAGGAGCATGGATGAAGCCTGGAGGGTATTCCATGGTAAAGAGGTTAGAGAGAAAAGAAATAACCAGCAAAAAAGACCATGGAGAATCAAAACATTGGAACTCTGGTGTCTTGGAAACCAAGTGAAGAAGCCGTTTCAAAGAGAGAGTGGTCAGATGTGTGAATGCTGCTGTTTGGACTTAACAAAGCAGAGGTTATTGATGAGAGGTTTTGGTGGCGTGGAAAGCCTGACTGGAGGGGGTTTAAGAATGGAATGAGGGGGGCTGGCCCAGGGCTCACTCGGGAGAGTGCGGTGCTGATAACACCAAGGCCATGGGTTCAGATCCTATATAGGGATGGCCGGTTCGCTCACTGACTGAGCATGATGCTGACAACACCAAGCCAAGGGTTGAGATCCCCTTACCGGTCATCTTTAAAAAAAAAAAGAATGGAAGGAGGATACTGATAACAACAGAGTGAAGGGACCCCGCCATGCTGGCCAGCCACCAAAACAAGCACAGTGACGAATGGAAGGAGGATAGTGATAACAACAGAGTGAAGGGACCCCGCCATGCTGGCCAGCCACCAAAACAAGCACAGTGACAGTAACAACAAAAGAATGGAAGGAGGGGAAGTGGATATGGAAAGTACAGGAAGTACAGGCAATCCTCTCAAAGAGTTTTGCCTCAAAGTGTAGCAAAAATACAGAATAGTGAGTAGTGGCCTGGCACAGACAGCGGGGGCAAATAAGTGTTTTAAATAAGATGAGGGAGGGCCGGCCCATGGCTCACTCGGTAGAGTGCGGTGCTGGTAACACCAAGGCCGCGGGTTCGGATCCTATATAGGGATGGCCGGTTTGCTCACTGGCTGAGCGTGGTGCTGACAACACCAAGTCAAGGGTTGAGATCCCCTTACCGGTCATCTTTTAAAAATAAAATAAAATAAATAAATAAATAAATAATAAGATGAGGGAATTAAGAGCATGTTTAAATGCTGATTAAGAATGATCCAGTAGAGACAGAAAAATTAACAACACAGGAATGAGAGGGGAGGATTTTTGGAACATTGTCCTTTAAGGCACAGGGAATCTGTCAGAGAAGAGACAGACATACAGAGGTGCTATCCTTTGACCCCACTGATATCACCAGTCCATTGATCCTGTCACCTTTCACTGCTCTCAATCACTTGATTTCCTCTCTTCCTCAAGAGGTCCTCTTCCCTGACCTTGGGATCCCATGGTCAGACATTATGCTGGCTCATTGCATACACCATCAATTCCCTGGACTCTCTACGGTTTTGGAGCATCTGACTGGCCAAACCACAACCCTGATTAAATCCATCTCCACCAAACAAGTGCTCTAAAGCCATAGATCAACGGATTGGTGATCTCAGTGGGATCATAGCTGGGGTTGAGAGGTACTTAGCTGGAAAGATGGGAGGTGGTGCATTTTTATGTGGTGCATAAATGAGATTATGGAGAGGTTGCAGTTATTTGTTTAGTCAATTGCGCTCAATCATAACCTAAAGTCGGGTGGAAGGCAAAACTTTTGGCAAAGAGTTCAAGAAAGGGCCTGCCCGTGGCTCACTCGGGAGAGTGCGGTGCTGATAACACCAAGGCCCCGGGTTTGGATCCTGTATAGGGATGGCCGGTTTGCTCACTGGGTGAGCGTGGTGCTGACAACACCAAGTCAAGGGTTAAGATCCCCTTACCGGTCATCTTTTTTAAAAAAAAAAAAAAGAAAGAGTTCAAGAAAGCCAAGACTTAAGGCAGGAGTAGTGTTGGAGAGAATGACAGTAAGCCAGGAGCTAAACCCCTCTAAATGAGGGGGGTGATGGAGAGTTCAGTAGATGACAGTAATAATGAAGATTGTTTAGTATGTTAAATTCCTGTATTAACTTGAATATACACACAAGGAAATAGACAGTAAGGTGTAGTAAATTGGTGTGTGGTGGTTGTTTTTTGTTTGGTTTTTTTTTTTTTTGGTGGCTGGCCTGTCCGAACCCATGGACTTGGTGTTTTTTTTGTTTGTTTGTTTGTTTTTTAAAAAAAGATGACCGGTAAGGGGATCTTAACCCTTGACTTGGTGTTGTCAGC